ACTGTGGCGCGGTCCCGGCAGTGACATCCCACCCCGGTGAGGTCGCAGCCCTGCAGCATGGGCCAGTAGTGATGCCCGCGGGCGTCACGGCAAGGTTGGCACCGGGGCAGCGCTGCACCTGGAGCAGGGGCTGGAAAGGGGCTTTCCCGCTCGCTCCCCGGCTCCTGGCAGCCCCGGTGTCACCACCACGTCAGAGCGGTGCGGAGCAGCGGTGCCACCGGCGCTGCCTCTGCGGTGTGCGAGGTGAACGCTTCCTGCCGGCGGGGCCTCCGCTGCTGCCTCCGCTGCTGCCTCCGCTAGATCCCGAGGCTGCGGGCGCAGCGCTCGGATGTGGTCGTGGCGCTCGGATGTGGCCACGGGAGCTCTGCGGAGCCCGGCAAGCTCACGGCTTGTGCTGTGCAGGTGCCCAGCATCTCTTTGCATGAGGCTGCAGTGACCTTAGCTGCAAACCTGGCTGCCTGTTGCTGTCTGTCTGTCTGTCCTCTCTGATGGCCCCAGGTGACCTGTGCATGGGGATGGCCTGGGAAGGTGACCAGACTTCCAAAAGGCTGGTGCCAGGATGTGCCCTTGGCCAGTGCTCCCGAGCAGCAGTCTGGAGGCCAGAGGCGTGAGCAGGTTTCTGAGTGAAGGCTGGGGGTGTCGGTGACCGTCGAGCCCAGGAGTGCTTGTGCTGAGGCCCACTGGAGTGTCCCATGGAGCAAGTGAGCTCTGTGTCCTGCTCCGGAGGCCCTGCACTGCTGCTTCCGCGGGGTCTGGGCTCTGTGGGATCAGGAGGATGGAGGCAGCGCTCCGGGTGTTTTGGCCTGCGGCTCCCTCCCGGCCCCTTCCTTGCCCTTTGCTTCCTTGAGCAGCTGCCAGGGGCGCTCGGAGCTGCCGTGGCCACTCACGTTGGGACAGCGCCCAGGAGCTGGGGACACCCGGTTCCTCCGGGCTCGCTCGTGCCCTCGGCGTCCCCTCACCACGGCCCGTGTGGACAGGGTCCGTGGGGAAACCGCCGGGCTGCGGAGGGCGCTTCCCTGGTAATTAATGGGATCTAATTACCACAAGCTTAAATGAAGGGGACAGCTGTATTTATCATAGCGGGGTCATGACAGGACTTACTTTTTTTTAAAGCTTTCCAGGGCTGCTTCTAGCGTGAGGTCCTGCAGCACCCGCCACGGCTCTGCGCAGCCTGGGTTGCTGCTTCCCCGTCCCCGGGTGTCCCCGCGCGGAGGGACCGGGTCCCCAGGCTGCGGGCAGGACTGCCCAACCGCGAATTGCAGCCACGCAGTTAATGGCACTTTCATTACATATAAGAAGAGCTCAGAAGAATAAATCAAAACAGGTGCAAAGAGCAGCGTGGGATGTGGTGGTGCCTGAGCCAGGCATGCTGGGCACTGCCTGGTCCCAAGTGTCCTGCACAAGTGCCATGGTGCCATCTCTAAGGTTTCCCAAATCCAGTGAGTCTTGGAAACAACTATCTAAACAGCTTGGGAACGACCCATTGCGGGAAGCTGGTGCTGCTGCTTCTCGTGCTCTATAAAAGCGGCTGTCGCGGTGCTGCCGCCCTTCCCTTCCCTGCTCGGGTGTCTCTTTGTGCTCTGCCCCAGATAGCTCTTTCTGAGCAGTGATTTAAGCTGTTTGTTCCCCGCCTGTCACCAGGCGTGTGGGAAGCACGTGGGGCGATCAGACCCTGCCGGCGTCGCTCAAAGAGAAGTCTCCTTCACAGGAAGGAAGGAGATTTGCGGATAATCAGGGGTCGCGCGGGGAAATAATCGAGACCTGCGAGCATTTGGAAAGCGCCTGCTAGCTGAGCCCCGGAAGCTGGAGCCGCGGGCTGAGGTTTTTAAGACCCCCCAGTCCGTAAAACCTTGTGACCGTTTTGTCACGTTCTAGCCTGTCTAGCAAGCGTAATGATGTGAGGCTTTGGGTTGCTGCGTGCTAGGTGATTGATAGGCTTCAGAGTTAACAGAGCTCTGAGCCGCAGAGCTAGATGGGAATGGGAAAATGCCTGCAAGGGCTTCCCTTGGCTGCGCTCTCGGGGCGACCTCCTAGTGCGTCCCGTCCCGCTGCTCCTCGCAGCGCTGCGGGCGGCTCAAATCCTCGCGACCCGGGGAGGTATTTTTAGGTTTCCCCTAAAAATAGTTGCCGTCCGCGTGCGCCTGCTGACGGCAGGAGGAGCCGGGGGCGGAAGCCTCTTACTGGCGGCTTTGGCGCGAGCGGCCAAGGAGCTGGGTGGGCAGTGAGCGGTACCCAGAGCATCTCTGGCCACCCGCGGGGTAACTTTGTCCTGGGGGCCAAAGAGAGGGCTGAGCCCCCTGCAAGGGCTGAGCCCCCCCAGGCTGATGGGGCAACCGATGGTCTGCAGGCCCTGCAGCTCCCGGGGTGGCTCCCGGTGCTCTGCTGGGAGAGCTGGGCTCGGGAGTGCAAGGTACCCCGGGAATAATGCAGGCAGCGGGAGTGCTAATCCTATCACCGTGAGCACAGAGTAATGCATCTTTCTATAGAAACATATATATATGCATCCCATTTTTTATATCTATCTATATATGTATATATGCCTGTGTGTATATGCAGATATATGTGCATATATATCCATATATGTGTATAAAAATAAATGTTGCTGGTTAGTGCATAGATGTCCTTCTCTCTAGGACCAGTTTTGTGCCTTCACCTTCCCTGGAAGATAGCCCTGCTTGCAGCTCTGCGCCGGGTTAATGCCACATGGGCTGGAATGGTCCTCACCATCCTCCCCCTCACCATGCTCCTCCTTCTCTTCCTTCCCATCCTCCTCGTTCTCCCCATCCTCCACATGGGATGAAATGGTCCTCCCCTCTCATCCTCCTCCTCCTTCCCATTCTCTCTCCCATCCTCCTTCTTCCCATCCTCCTCCTCCTGGTCCTCCTCCTCCTCCCGCCGTGTCGGTCTCCCCCGCGCTCGGCCCGCAGCCGGCGCAGGGCTCCCGTGCAGCATCACTGCTGACCCAGCAGCAGCTTCGCTTGCCTCGTCCCCCCGGACACCCTTCCCTGCTCCTGGTGCTCGTGGCCGGCACAGGAGCCCCCGCTGGCCCCGTGGAGGCTAAAGAGGCTTAGGCAGCTCCGAAACCCCCTTCTTTACCAGCCCAGCTGGCGAGGAGCCAGCTCGACAGCTTGGCCTGGGTTCCTCCAGGGGGCCGGCGGCCTTTTCTTCTTTGCACTAGCAAAAATACAGAAGCGACAACCGCTCTCTCCTGGGTTCCCTGAGCGCGGTGGCTCCTCGGTGAGCACCACGTGCATCACGCCGCGCGTGCCGGTGTGTCCAGCACCTCCCATGCTCCCTGAATCCCTGCGTCACTGCAAGCGCAGGTGGCCGCGTGCGCTGCTGACCTGCTTGTTTCCTTTAAATCGCAGCTCCCCGCGGTGCAGCTGCCCTCGCTCAGCACTGCTGCTCTCGCCTGGGCTTTTCACCTAAAAATATTTATATTTCTGCAAAGAATTTAAGTGCAATCTAGGTAATATGCAGTAACTGTATATACCTTTACATCTTGCGACATTGGGAGTGTGTTGCTGCAGAGAATTAAGTGCAATCTAGATAATATTCAGTAACTCTGTATAACTTGTGGCACTGGGAGCGTGTTATTTCATTCTTGGTGGGTAAAGCTAAACACCTGCAGGAGGTTGCTTCTAGGGCAAGGGGGTTGGATGGGGGCAGTTTCAATGAGAATCCCCTGCTGCGGTGATCGAAGCAGGACAGGGAATCTCCAGCACGACTTGGTTGGCGCTGGGGGTGTAAAAGGGAGAAGGGGGTTGGAATTACAGAATTACAGTCCCACACTTTGCAGGAGCAAAAGCACGTAAAGTTTAGCAAGGCTCTAAATAGCATTAGTGTGAGCTTGGCCGATAATCCCAATAATTGCTGAAGCCCCAGCGGTTGCACCTGATTAATTGCTTGGCATGGCAGGTCCCTGCGCGTGCCCGGAGCGCAGGGGCTGGATGATGCCTCTGGGTTCCCATTCCAGTGACGTGTTTATTCCCGGCTGCATCCGCGGGGCAGGAGGGAGAGAGGCGCCTTCCGCAGCGGTGCTGGCAGCATCCGGGTGCTCCCCGTGCTCCTGGGCTTCCCTGTGTTCCCGCTGCCCTTTGCTCCATCTGGCTGCTCCAGCCTCCAGAGCACCAGCCTTGCCCTTTCCGCAGGTCACGGCAGGGGTTGCAGCCACTTGGGTTTCCAGGGGGCTGAAAATAGAAGGGTGGCTGCGGCACCTGGCCCGACAACCTGCCCCAAGCCCGGTGCTGGCTTAAGCAAGCGAGAAGCAGCTCCTGGGGGCCCGAGCGCAGCCAGCGCTGCCGCTGTAGCTGGAACGAAACCAGGGCTCGAGCGGCGATTTCCTGGGGGTGTCTCGGTGGTTCTGCAGAGCTTCGTGCACCCCAGCTCCGGGAGTGCATCAGCTCACAGAGTGGTGTAGCTCGCACAGGGAGTGAGCAGGGAAAGGCAGCACCCAAATTGGAGGCTCCTCCTGAGTGACCCCTGAGAAAATGCAGGGTTTGCATGGCAAGGCCTCAGCAGGAGATGCTCGGGGAAGTGTGTGTGAGGGACAGAAAACAGGAGTGTTTTTATATATGTGCTCTGCTCCAGCTAGGAGCTTTTCGCTGGGGAACTGCGGCTGCCCAGGATGCCGGGGATGGGGCTGCCCCGCAGCATGTTAGCTGTGCGCGCACTTCATCTGCAGCCCTGGTGCCGGGGAAGGTTTTGCACTGCCAGCATCCACAGATCAGACACTGCTTGGACACTGCGCAGAGGCTGAGTGGCCCCTGCACGCACGTGCCTTCCCCCGGGTTATTTCCCATTACTCTGGCGCAGCGCCCTTGGGATGCCTTGCAGCGCTCTTGGAGCGGACGTTGCAGGACTGGTCCCCATGGCATGCTGCCCACAGGCATGTGCTGCAGGGCAGGTCACAGTGCAGTTCCTGCGGGCACAAACCTCCTCTGCCCAGTGCAGGGTCCGTCCCGGCTGCCCAGCTCACCGCCTCCCTTTGGCTCTTGCAGAGTTTGCCCTGTCCGTGGCGGAGAAGATGCAAGCGCAGGACGTGCTGCGGGGCCTGCGGCTCCCCGAGCTCGACGACCTGGGCCAGCTCGTGCGCAGCCTGCCGGCCACGGCGCTCGTGGGGCTGGGCGCCTTCGCGGCCGTGCTCGCCTACTGGTTCGCGTGCCGGCCCAAGGCCGTGCAGCCGCCCTGCGACCTCGCCAGGCAGTCGGCAGAGGTGGAGGTAAGAGTCGAGAGGGCCCGTGGGGTTGGGATGCTTGGAAACAGCCATGGAGGATGCCCTGGTTTATTCACAGGGCTTCCCAGGCTTTGCCTGGCATTGGGTAGGAAGTCTACGATGCTAGGGACCATTTCGCTCCATCATTCACCTTTTTTTTTTAAAAAAAATCAATTATTTATTTCATTTTTGTTGGCCAGTGTAACCATGCTCCAGGTCCTCATGATGGCACAGTAATCCTTGCCCTCCTCGCTGCTCTACTCTATACCTCGGGCCAGGGTGCAGCAGACCCACCACAAAGCCGTTATCCATCCATGTTGCCTGCGCCCAGAGCCTCCTAACCCTGCTGTGCTCAGCGACGCTGTGTCCACAGAACTCATACCCATCACTCACACTGCCCTTTTCTTCCCATCCTTGCCTTGAGACACTGGTGTCCCAGCGGACCCTCTGGGATCATCTATGGGGATGCGCGCCCAACATTCCCCTTTCCTTCTGCTGCTGCCTCCCTTCGGCTGCAGGCAGGTCCTGACTTCTGGATTTGCCTTCTGTGCCCTTGAGGAGCTGGCAGCATCTCCTGATCTTTCTTTTTCAGCCCTGGCCCTCCTCTGTGAGTTCCCAGGAGCTACTCATTGACTTTAAATTGCCTCTTCTGGCAACAAGGAGGGCTAAGTCTGGGAGAGCAGATTTAGGGTGTTACTTGGACCCCTAAGGTTCATTTCACAAGGTCTTTGGTCCACTGCGATGCCTCCCGCACTGCCAAGGGTTGGCAGATGGGGTTTCTTTCGATTTGGGAATCAATTCAGCCATGGGGGTAAATAAATGGGTGTTTTTCTCTCTGAGCTGGCTATGGTAGGTTCAATATGCAAAGGCTTGTTTGTTTTCTGGATTTTTCCATTTTTAGAACGTAATTACCTTCAGTTGTCCTCAGATCCTTCCATTAATATAAGATGCATTTGGACGCTTCTCTAGAGTGGAAAGGGGGTTTATTTTTAGTTTGTACAGAAAAAAATCCAGTTGTCTAAAAATGCCAGAGTTGTGGTAAGTGCATAAAGATATGGGGAGCAGTTGGCCTCTCTGGGGGTGGAGGGAGAGGAAGAAACAGTAACTGCATTAAAAGCCAAGTGTAAAAGTAGGTGCCAAAAAACTGTTTTTGTTTGCTTTACTTGTGGAGCATGAGATGTAGCTGGGTGTGCTATCAGTGCTTGTTGCAATATATGTTTTTAACAGGATGCTGAGGCAGCCTAATGAGCTTTAGGTCAGTGACGTCGGCCGCCTGAGCTCGTCCCGGCGTGTGGAGCTGCAGCTCTGCTCCTACTGGCAGCCTTGGGATGCTTTTCTGGGCTTTTTTTGTGCTTTTCTGTGCTCCTCTTTCCTCCTCTCATTGCTCCCGTTGACTCTATGCTGCTGTGGTCCCCTCAGGGCTCGGATGGTGCACGGAGATCCGTGATAGGTGACAACGACCAGCTACTCACACACTACTACGATGACGCCAGGACCATGTACGAGGTCTTCAGAAGAGGGTTTAACATCTCTGGTGAGTGCTCCGTATGGACACGCGCGATGTGGGGATCCCTGGAGCCTCTGGAAGCGCAGGGAGTTCCGGTCCTCCCCACCCCATCCTCCACGGGTGTCCTTGGGCACTTCCACAGACTGACTCTTGTGCTCCATCAACTGTCCTTAGGAATGGAAGAGGTCTCACTGCTCTCTCACTCGTCCCTGCCACCCGTCTCGGCACCTTCCCTAGTGCTGTTTCATCCCATAGTGCATACAGCGCTGCACGGCCCGCACCGCTCACCCAGGACAGGATATCAGAGGCGTTGGGAAGTTTCCCAATTTGTTCTCTCTTGGGGTTTAGCTGATGCTTTCACAACCATCCAGAATAGTTCCAAGGTCTCTTTTACCGATAACCAAATAATTGATTTATAAGTAATCATTATGTGTTTATAATTAGGATTATTACTCCCCATGTGCTTTGTTTTGCATTTAATGGTATTAAATTTTTCTCTGCGGTCTCGGTATCATGAGAGCTTTCTGCTGCTGTTGGCAGCAGCTTTCGCTCTCAGTCTCCTGAATCCTGCAGCATCAGCAGATCGACCCGTGCATTAGTCATCCCTGGACCACTTACAGATGTGTTCAGTGGGACTGATCCCAGCACAGGTCCCTGTGGCACTCGGCAGTGCTCTCCCTCCACTGCAGAACCTGATACTCATTCCTGCCTTTGCATCCTGTATTGTCATCAGTGATTACTTTTTATGCCTCAAAAGCATAGTGTTTTAAAGAAACCTGGTTAAGGGGCTCTGGCAGAAGGCCTTTAGGAAGTGAATCACTCCGTATCTGACCCTACTTGCTGATGTGACTGATGAGACCTTGGGAGAGTCCTCATACCTTGTGAGATGCCATGTCCCACACCAAAAGCTGCAGTGACTCTTCCCCATTATATCATGAGATGCCATGTCCCACACCAAAAGCTTCCCCATTATATCCATGCCTACTTGTGCTCTGCTGCTCGTGATATTCATCTTGGTCATTAGAAGATCCAGTGAACTCTCACGTTGGTCCTGCAAAGTAGACAAGTTTGTGTCCTAAGTGTCCTCCGGCCTTACCGTGCTTAGGCCCTAGGACAATGTTTGGATAAGCTTGCTCTGGGGTCCTCAAGCACCTGCCTGTTATTTGCATGTCCTGGTTTGAACACTCCGATTTCCCTGTCATATTACTATTTTCAGAGCCACCAAAAGGCTTTCTGGTGCTGCAGTTCTCTGCACTGTGCTGCTACGTTAAGGGCAGTATATAAATAGCTCGATGGATGCATGGAGGAATGGATCCTGGGCAGATAAATGCAGATAGCAAATTAATTAAACTTCTCAAATACACTTCCTGGCATGTAGGGCTACATATAATCTTACTCTCCTCTGGAGTGGGCATTGATATTAATAGCAGTTTTCACTTTGAAGTATTTAAATCAAAGGGCAGCTAGAGCAGCAGGAGCTCGTACTTGGGATGAAAGCGTTCACCAGACGGCAATGATCATGCTGTCTTCGGGGAAATACATTGTAATAAGGCTGTTTCTGTGCAAATTGCTACCGTACTCTCTGCAACTGCAAGATGGGGCTTGACACCAAATTGGGAAGTCCCAGGAGCCGGTCTCCCCTTACGCCAAGCTGTCTTGCCTGGGTTTGATGGCCCTTGAGGGGTGCTTTGCCTCCGAGGTGAGAGATGACCTTGGTAACGGGGCATTTGTGCATCAGTGCTTGTCACCATCCCCATGACTTGGAAATCTCTGCTTGTGTCTTCTAGAGAACGGCCCCTGCCTGGGATTCAGGAAACCCAAGCAGCCCTACCAGTGGTTGTCCTACAGAGAGGTGAGCTTGGAGCGAGTTCTTCCCACAGGCTCCCCTGCTAGTTCCATCCTTCCCGAGCCGAGGGATGGACTTGTAAGGTGGATTTTTGCAGTAAGAACTGGATGGCCTGGGGTCACCTTTGCTTAGTTTCCACCTGCTTGTATTCCTCGTTTTATGTTTTTATTTTCCTTTCAACTTCCAGGTCTTTGAAAGAGCCGAAGCCTTGGGTTCAGGGTTGCTTCAGCAGGGATGCAAACCATGCCCAGAGCAGTTTATTGGAGTCTTTGCTCAAAACCGCCCCGAGGTGAGAGAGTTTCAGTCCAACTGCATGCTCTTAACAGTGTTACTGACCCGAGAGCTTGCTTTATATGTTAAGTTTGCTCTCAGCTGTGTTAGATCTATTGCCGCTGCCTCCTTCTTACTCTTGGTTTTGGATGCAGTGGATCATTTCTGAGCTGGCTTGCTACACTTACTCCATGGTGGTGGTTCCCCTGTACGACACCTTGGGGCCTGGAGCCATCCGGTACATCATCAACACAGGTAAGAAGGACATAAAGACAACACAGGGTTGCTGTCATGTGCAATGGTTCATCATCTTCCCCTTTCCCAAGAGCTGTTCTTGCTCATCAAGAGTTTTTGGCTAGCTGACTGTGTAGTACTTTAGTGCCCTACTGCAGGACTCCTTTCTCTTAACCAGTTATTCTCAGTGTTTAAGAATTTTTCATTCATTCTTGCATTCTGTATGTCTGTGGCAGGACAAATCAGGTATCTTTGGTTGTTCTATATCATCTGTTCACACTTCAGAGGCAACAGGCCAGTGCCACCCTGTTCTTCCTTGCAATATTTGGTCTCCTAGAAGACCCACAGGCTCTTGCAAAGCGCTTGGTCTGAGATTTTGGTATTGAGCTAAACCCCAGAGTATTTGCAGCCACCAACTGCACGTTCAGAGATGGTTTTTGTTAGGTGAAATTGCAGTGTTGTTTTTAAAAGAAATGCTTATTGCATTCCTGGATCTCTGCTGCAAGTCTGGAGCGAGTATTAAAGCTGATGTGCTAGTGCTGAACCAGCAGCCATGCTGCATGGAGCAAAGATTTACTAAAACCCAGGTGTTTGGATGCTTTCTTCCAGCGGACATTTCCACGGTCATCTGTGACAAGCCAGAAAAGGCCCGGGTTCTCCTGGACCACGTGGAGAAGCAGGAAACGCCGGGGCTCAGCAACATCATCCTGATGGACCCGCTCGAGAAGGAGCTGCAGGAGCGAGGGGCGCGCTGCGGCGTGCGCGTCCAGGCCATGCGCGACGTGGAGGCGAGTTCCTCCGGCCTCCTCTTTTCCCTGGGCTTCACAGCTCCTGCTGCAAAATATCCTGGGACTTGTGAATTGGGACGGGTGGATGTAGGTTTGGGGATCAAACCGCACGTCAGGGGAGGTCGTCCCCATCCGTGTGGCCGTGCGGATAGTGCAGCTCGCGAGTGCTGGCCTCTCCATGCCCTTTGCCACGTGTCCTGCTCCACAGAGGCAGCCCAGGTCCTGGCCAGTGTTGCAGCCCATGCAGTCAGCTGTTGATTTTTCCCGTTCTGGGTGAAATTGGAAGTAATTTGTCACTTTCATCTCTTTCAGGAGCGTGGCCGTGAGTGCCGACACGTCCCTGTGGTGAGTTCAGTCGTGCTGCCTTTGCGTTTGTAATGAACTGATCGGTTTGTGTCTATGCCCTGAGACAAGAGCCATCCGTGCTGCTGCCTAGCCCGGGGTGCCAGCGGGGACGGATCTGGGGACCGTCCATCGGCATCGCCCTGGTCCTGGCAGCAGAGCCCAACACGGGCTATGTTCATCCGTAAGCTTTGCCGGGGATGCTCGAGCAAGAGATGGGCGCTCGGCGCGTCTGTGCCCTGCTCCCTGGCCCTTCTTGGCAGGGAGATTAGCACGGTGCAAGTATTTACATGCATTTAGTATTTGTATTTAATGTTGGAGTACTTGTATTTATTGTGTGTTAAGTATTTGTTCAATGCAAGTAAAGGTCCTTGGTTTTCCTCTGTACACAAAACCAATGTTATGTGCTGTATGAACCCCCAGGCGTGTCACCAATAGCGAATGGCATATTTAAGAAGAAATTCCAAACAGCCATATATAAACCATAAATATCATCTATTGCTGTTATCAAATATCTGTGTTTAGCAAACACAGTTTGTTACTGCAGTCTGTGTGAATGAGTTTCCATCTCTAAAAGGGACACATTAATAATCAATAGTATGGAATACATTACAATTGAATGCAATAGTTTGGGGTTTTTGTGTGCAGGATCTGCGACTCAAATGTTTCATCAAAGTCTTGTGATACTACAGATGGAGTGAAACGTAAGGGGGAAATGGAGTCTTATTGATTGAAGAAACCTGATAGAAAGAGCTTTATGATGGTCTTTTGTTTCTGCCAAGGGAAATAAAAGTTTTTATGGCAGATTTGAAATATAAGTGTTTGATTTTTAAGTTGCAACATTTGCATTCATTACAACATTTTGCCTGACTGTACTGCATTGCACTGATGAGCTTTTCCCATCTTCCTTGTGCATTTCTAGCCTCCTCGGCCAGAAGATCTGTCAATCGTCTGTTTTACTAGTGGCACAACAGGTAAAAGTACAAGCATTTTAATCATGAAGTTTTAGAACAGATTAGCAATTAATTACTAGCATCACCTCAGTATGTGCAAATAGACTGTTATGCTGACACACAGCAACGGTATTTGTATGCATATTTTAATATTTAAATGTGTGTATATATGTACATATGTTTCAGTAGCTATGCAAATTAAAACAGTGGTATTTTTATTTTTGACTAGAATTCTGGCATACGTTTTGGCAGGGTGATTTTGCGTTTGTCTGGAAATCCTCCCATGTTCTCTGGGCTCTTGCTTTCCCCTCTTGCAGTGCAGACACGGAATGTGTGATTGACTGTGTTTTATCTTCTGCCATCTTAAAAAAGAAAGGAAAATGCTGGTGCCCAGCACTGCACTCCCTGTTTCCTAACCGCTCCCAGTCCCCAGCTGCCCGCGGTGCCTGGGTCTCTCACTGCTTGCAGGAGTTTCATGCTCTCAAGGACGTGGCTCTGCCTAAGATCTACCAAGAAGTGCTGAAAGCAGAGACTGGGTGTGCAGAGAGCACACACACGCAGGATGGTTTTGCCCCTTTGGGCATCGTTTTTGCTTTGCTGCGGGGTTCTGGGCGCCTGAGGGTGCCCGGCAGCGGCTGCGTGCTGGTGGAGATGTCCTTGCTCAAGTCTGAAGCCGTCCGAGTGCAGCTCTGCATTCACTAGAGAGCGAGCAGCTGGAAATGTAAAGTTGGAAGCAGTTTTAGCTGCTTGCAATAAGCTCGGGGGTGCATCTTAATGTGTATTTTCCCACGTGGTTGATGGGCTCGGATGTCTGGATGCCTTCAAAGGGTGAAAGGAGAGATCATATCACAGGCTCGGCTCTCACTGGTGTTTTGAGCATCATCAGGACTCAGAAAGGAGCCACTTACAGAGGTGCTGCCCCAAATGTACAACCCTGCTGCTCCTGGGAAAGGAGCTGCGTTTCCTGGAATGAAGAATATCTAACTTAGAGAAGATCAGTGACCCTCTTCTTTTTCTTTTTTTCCTTAAAGAAAAAGCACTTTTACTACAACTTTTCTCTCTGAGAGTGCTAAATTCTGGGGTAGGCCTGGAGGCCAAGAGCAGTGATTTGGTCACGTCACATCCCCAAAGAGTTCAAAGAGCTAAAGAAGGTCAAGACTTGCTGGAATCGCCTAGCCCAGCCCCCAAAATGCTGGTTCCCCATCCTGGCATGGCTTGTGCTGGATTTCTCCAAAAGGAGGGTTATCCTGGCTCTGAGAATGACAGCTCTGCTTCCAAACCTCTGACGTCGAGGACTTATGCTATGGGCAGGAAGTGGAGGGAGGAGAGGGCTGTGCCTGCAGGCAAGCCGCGGTCATCGGGGCAGAGCTACTGGGTCACCCCAGTTTGCACTAGGAGCCATGAGGAGTCCCTAGAAAGGCAGCAAACTTGTTTTGAGGCCCAGGAGGCCACATCTGCCAGGGCATCGCTGGAGGCTGCGGCCTGGGGCACCCATGAGCGGTGCTCTGTGTCGCGGGGTCTCCCGAGCGCGCTGGTGATGGAGAGAATCCTGAGCAATTGGGGCAGCTCCTCCGCTTGGCATGCCGGGCAGGAGCGTCTGCCTGGGCCCCACTTGTGAGGTCTGGAAGAGGATGAGGAGAAGTGAGGCCGAGATTGCTCTTGGGGTGCCGGGCTCGTTTGGACCTGTTGATTTCAGTGATTTGGTGATGCTCGGAGCGGCGAATGCCAAAATTCACACTTTGTCCCAAATGCCCCGTTCCTGTGCAATAAAGGTGGGCAATGGTTGGTGTTTGTGCTTGGGCTGCTGTCCAGTTCTCCAAGGGACTGGGCAGAGAGCAGGTCTAAGCGTGTCCCTCACAAGGGCCCCTCTACTCTGCCAGTGCTGGTACTGAGGATTCTGTCTGCTACAGCCCCAAGGGCCCTTTTGGGACCATCTGTTATTTGTTTTCTACCTTCATTCATTGAGTATGGTAAGACCTGCCTCTACTAGATGTTACTGCACAGAAAAATGACTGTGAAAAATGCATAAAATTTAAAACTCTGAGAACTTGAAAATACGTTCTACCCTTTAAGTTTTTTCTCTTTTCCAAGCTGTAGGAGATCCAGCTGCCGGTGGCCTTTAGCAGCGGTGCTCTCTGTTTCCTTGCAGGCAACCCCAAGGGCGTCATGCTGACCCACGGCAACGTGGTCGCGGACTTCTCAGGCTTCCTCAAAGTGACCGAGGTGAATAACCGCGACGCAGCAGGGCCGGCCCTGGCGCCGAGCCGGAGCGGGGCCGCATGCGCGGCTCCATCCCGCGCCGCTCCGTCCCGCGGGGGCTCCATCCCGCGCGGCTCCGTCGGGAAGCGCCGGGGGAGCTTGGCCGGAGCTCCCGGGGACCGCGTAACTCGCCTTGCACGGCTGCAGCTGGGCTCCCGCGGGAGAGCGGCACCCGCTCTGAGGTGCCTCCAGCATCTGTTTGGAAGCCTTATGCATCCGAAGTATGTATACATACAATATACATATGAGAACACACAGCTATTGGCAAGAACAGTTAATTTATTGACTCTAAAGTGTGTTGCAGCTGGGCTTCTGTGTGTTTTAACAAACACAGCACTGACCAGGTAAATGAATATCTAACGTGCATAATGTGTTTTCTGCAATGTGTAAGCTGCTGTTCAGAAGCCAGGGGCAGAAGTGCTGCAGCACAGCCCACAAGGGATTATTACCTGGTACCTAGCAAAGACACAGAATGTATTTTTACATAGTAAACAGGCAATTATAGAATGCAGTAATATCCACATGGGAGGCACAGTTAATTACACTGCACCTGCTTTCCTCTTATGGACAATGCAGGAAACATCGCAGTCTTAATCCTTGATTTCTCTGAGATTTCCAGGCCCCTCTTTTTAAACAAACTTGGACGTGGGATATGACGGGCCCCGCTGGGCTGGCGTGTGTCAGTGCTTGCTGGACTGTGACACGCCATGTCCATGGCCAAGCCACCCCAGGAAGCAATGCCCAGCATCAAAGGTGCAAAGGCCTTGGAAGGAATATCAGTGAATAATACCCACAGCAGAAAAATCCTGTGGATTTGCTGTTTACCTACTTCTGTGCCAGTTTTGATTAGCTCAGTGTTTTTAAGTGGAACATTTTTTTTTAATTAACTTAGAGCTTTATCGTAATGCTGTTTTCAAATGCCAAGAAGACACTTTGATTTTTAATGTGTTTAGCAGCACAACCAGATCATATTTGCCAACTGTGAAATGCTGCTAAATGACATTGTTCTGGTTTAATGGAAACCAAAGGGTTTTACGGGAGGGCACTTCAGAGGGTGCCGGGCAGAGGCTGGAGCTTGTGCAGAGCTGGCTCTAGCAAAGCTCCCACACTCGCAGACCAGGCGCCGATCTGGAGCCGAGTGTCAATGCATCTTGATGCAGGTTGTCACCTAGACCAGCAGCTCCGTGAGCTTTGGGGTGGCCGGGTGCTGCTCTGTATCTTGCTCCTCTTGGCTAACACGGCTCCATCGCCGCCGCTGCTCCCCTTCCCTCGCGCTCCGCTGCCCCGCGCTCCTCCTCCGCCACTTCTCCGCTCGGCGTCTCACGGCTCTCTCGTTGTCTTCCTGTCAGTGTTTTCTTTCCTTTCTGTCTCCCATGCCCCTGGCCTGCAGAAAGTGATCTTTCCGAGACAGGACGATGTGCTCATCTCCTTCCTGCCTCTGGCTCACATGTTTGAGAGGGTGATCCAGGTAAGCAGCGCCGCTGCTGACGAGCCCCGCGGGGCTCCTCTGCTTTCTTCCAGAGTCAGTTGGCTCCCACTAGCGCAGAGGTGCACGTTTCCTATTTGCCTTTAGCACACATGTTTGAGCGAATGGTGCAGGTAAGGCCTGAGCGGCTGTGGAAATCCTCCCTTTACACCCCAAACATGAAACCAACTAAGTAGTAAATAACCAGCAGTAGCTTGTAAACTAAAAAAATAAAAAAAGACTTGTCCTGCAGAAGTGCCTTGGGTACCATGCCAGGGATGGGATCTGATTTGAAAAGCAATTTTCTTTTTTATGGATAAGACATGTGATAATTTGTGCAGAAATGATGCATTTTGCAAGTCAGATGAGATGATCGCATCGGTTCTGGAAGCTGTGAGCTGAGAACCAAGTCCGTACATGAGGGCTAGATCTCATAGAGTGACAGCTCCACGCTTTCCCAGGCAGGGCAGTTTGGGGCTGAAAGATGCTTTTTGAGTCAGAGCAGCTCTGAATTTGAACCTCCCACCTCTTAGTAGTGCCTGTGCCAGGAGCAATTCATTCTGCCGAGCAGAACGCTTGCAAATTGGAAGTGAAAGTCTGTGGCAGATCTGGAGAGCAGCAGCCCAGCGGATTCTCACTCGTACGTCTAGCTGTAACGGGCAAGTTGGTCAGGATCCCACTGCTGCTCAGGCCAAGTGCTTTGCCAGCAGCCAGGAAGAGAATGATTTAAAAAGCCACCTGATGGGAAGGAAAAGTGGTGGAGATGCCTGGAAATGCCTCCTTGCACGGGGTGCAGTGGTAATGCAAGGGAGAGGCCTCCCAAGCCTTCGGTGTGAAGCATGTTCAGGTTTATCCTCTGCTGAAAATACTATAAAGATTTTTCCAAAGGGATAAAAAGTAATTTTCAAAGTTATTTAGAACAGCAGGCACTGAGTCAGCTTCCCTTACTTTAGCCAATGCCAGGGCTAATTTTATCCGCAACTGGCAGATAAAATTATGCAGAGATTTCTAGTAGTTATTTGTAATCCCCAATGACCATAGAGGGACTATTTTTTCCCACTTTTCACACATGTGCACATGCAGTGTAGGATACGAATTTGGCAGAGTGATAGTGGTTAAACCCAGAGCACGTGTAAAATTCCCGTGCTTCCAGTCCATGGAGAAGCATTTTCCTGGCAGTAATAAAGCCATGGGCCCATTCAGGTTAACGTACATTTTTAGGAGCAACCCAAAAAGAGCTCAGTGTTTCTTAGGGCATTTTGAATTGCCCTAATGATTTGTGGAGAAAACGCTGCCAAAAAGCATTGGTGTTCTCCGTTTGCATCTTGCAAAGCTCAAAAGTATGTGTGTGCGGTCTGCACAGTCTCATGCATCCACTTCTCTTCTGATTTGGTTGAAAAGTGGCCTTTTTTTTCCTTTCCAAATTTGTGACTTCCAGATGTCAAAGCAGGTTCCCATTCCCGGGGTGCGGAGCCAGGCACTGCACTGCTGACGTAGTCTGTGTTGTTACATTTAAACAGAACTAAACATTAACACTAACCTCCCAAACCGGGCTGCTGCTCGTGATGCTGCTCCATGTCTCCGTACAAGCAGCAGGTCTTTGCTCTGTGAGCCGCTCCGGCAGGTCCCAGCCCAGCCAGGATCCCTCCGTCCCCGGGTGCAGGGATGCAGGGAAAACCTCTCATCCTGACGCCTCCGCATCCTTGTTCTTGCAGGGACAGCGCCAAATTTGGTGGGTGCTACATTCCCCATCCCAACAGGTTTCCCAGTGGAGGTTCCTGTTGAGTGCAAAACATGCTGTCACCTTCGTGTCCCTTTGGAGAGGCGCTTGGTGCCTGCGCCGAGCAGCAGCCTGGCCGGGGCCGCGCGGCGGGGCCGGCCCTGCCGGGCAGGGATGCTCCAGCCGCTGCCTTTTCTCCCTGCCAGTCCGTCGTGTACTGCCACGGGGGGCGGATCGGCTTCTTCCAAGGGGACATCCGGCTGCTGTCGGACGACATGAAGGCGCTGCGCCCGACCATCTTCCCCGTGGTGCCGCGGCTCCTCAACAGGATGTACGACAAGGTGAGAGGAACCTCGTGCTTTCTGCACTGATGAGGCTTGTCGCCCACTTGTGCTTCTCCAACAGCATTCCCACTGCATTCCCGTAGCATTCCCACAACACTCACGGTCCTTCCCGGGGGTCCTGCCTGGTTGCAAACATGTTCTTGTCCTGCTGCTGGTGACCTTGCCAAGGATGAGGAGTTTCCACCTCCAAAAGGCATCATCAAAGCTGGGCATACTAAGAGCTTTTGTGCTTCTGGCCCCTTTGGAGCTTTCCCCTGTCCTGGGTGGCAGTGGCAGGTCCAGGTCCCCGTGCGCAGCCGTTGCGGGGTTGGGAATGTGGTGCAGGCTTCGCACCCAGAAATTTTTAAAACAAGAGACGGTCCAGAAGGGTGTTTAAGGCTCACATGCCTGGTCACTGTGTCAAGTCAGTTTGACCAACGGGGAATATTTGTTCCTTGGAAGATGAATCCTGTAGAGATGGGCCTAGGCAAAAGCTGCTGATTGTGTTTTTTTCCCCCCAATTCAGGCCTGTTTGGATCTGGGCTTGGTGCTTTATCAGAGAGATGGGCACCGGGGGCTTCTCATTTGCACGGGTGTCTGACGAGACCTCGGTGCCCATAGCAGATAAGCCCACGGGATGTGGGCCATGCATATCTGGCAGCTAGTTAAAGCCTGATGCTTTTTCCCCCCAAAAGAACAGTCCACACAGCAGCAAACAGAGCGGCACAAGCAGAGTCAGTGCGAGTAAAGTCACAGTGTCGCCTTATTTAAGTGTATCGCTAAGACCGCGGTACCCACTGGGCACGGGGAGCCCAACTTGCTCTCTGCTCTGTCTCCGGCCCGGCCCTGCAGATCTTCAGCCAGGCGGACACCCCGCTGAAGCGCTGGATGCTGGAATTTGCAGCCAAGCGGAAGAAGGCCGAAGTTCACAACGGCATCATCAGGAACGACAGCCTGTGGGACAAGATCTTCTTCAATAAGATACAGGTAAGGGCTATCAGTAAATACAGGTGAGACACGAGGCAGTAATGCTGGAGCCAGAGACGGGAAGGTCCTGCTGCACACCATTCACCTCTGTGGTCAAAAAGTGGTTAAATTGGCTTCTCGCTGGGCTTTCCAGGCACTGTCCTGCCCTGGGAGGCTCCGATTGCTTCATTTTTTGTGATCGGATGAGTTATGTGAAGATGCGCTGCTGTATTTCTAACTAAAGAAATGGAGTGTAGCAGAGAGCTGGGAGTCAGCATGGGGCTGGCCAGCACCCAGGTAGATTTTGGGGTTTTAGGTTTTCCTTAAAAATAATTTAGAAAAAGGAAATAAAGGGGGGCACCCCGCATGCTCCCACTGGCGGAGGAGCAGCTCATCCGGGCATCCTTCCCGTGGGAGACAGGAATGTGCTGTATTTATTCTGTCCATAATGTTGTTATTGCTCGTAGCGTTTAGCTGCCGGCCCGTGACCGCTGTGCTCTGCTCCGTCCGCAGGCGGCATCCCGCGCTCGCCTCCCGCGAGGTGCGCGCAGTGCTGCTATTGCATGGAATGGCCCCAAAAAAGCGGAGATCCGTCCCCGCCATCCCCAGCATGGGCCTGAGTAAAGATGCTAAAGGAGAGATGTTGGTGCCTTGGTGACGCCGAGTTAATTCTGGCCTTAGCCGCGGGAAAATCAGCACCTCCAGGTGCCAACGTCACCCACTTAAAGACCTCAGCTGTCTCCTTCCCTCTTCCTAGGAAGCCTTGCACTAGTTTTAATGAAAAGGCCTCACTCAAAAGCCTAAAATTAGTGAAAATGGGTATGTTTTCAAAAGATTCCCCAAGTAAGCGGTTTTGCTCGTTGCATAGTGCATTGCTTGGCTCCAAAGCTCGTTGTCACCCTCATCCTCGCCCTGCTGTGCCACACAGGCAGTCACCAGAGTTTTTGCTGTGTAACAGTGAAATATTGTGTAGGTTTCAAGGTGCATGTTTCTTTGCCAGGTGTACGAGGGTTATGGGCAAACCGAATGCACCGCCGGCTGCACCTTCACCACCCCCGGGGACTGGACATCAGGTACCTGGTCCCTCCTGCCCTTGCCAGAGGAAGAGAAATGCACATTTCTTTGGAAATCTCTTCACTGCAATGTCACAGGGTGTTATGCAGCCCTGGCTGTTGGGTGAATGATTGTAAGGCAGTGTAATGCTCTTGAAAATACCACTAGTCCCAAATAAATCCATATGGATAAGATGTTATTGTGCAAGTTTGCCTGCAAAGGTTTGGAATCAACCCTTGAGCGATGCAGTTTGCAATAAGATCACCCTGTGCTGTTTGCCTTGTCTGGGTTACTAGTCTTGCTGGATTTACGATAAATTTGTCATATTGAATATTGCACCATTATAGTTCACAACCTTAGCTGAGGAGCTTGCTTCTGCTCACAGGCACAGCTGCTGCAAGAACACCCAGCCTCACCGGGGGCATCCACAAGGTGCAAGCAACTAATAATGAAATACTAATTACTGGTTATGGGAGAGATGACAAATGAGTTACTAACTTTGATTTCCAGGTCATGTTGGAGCCCCTCTGCCCTGTAATTTGATCAGACTGACGGACGCGGAGGAATTGAATTACTTTGCTTCCAAGGGAGAAGGAGAGGTAGCAACTCGCGTTTCTGTAGCCATTTCTTGGCAGTTAACACTGTGCTAGGCTGCAGGGAAAGCAGCATTTTAGCTTTTTTGGAAGCATGGTTGTGGAGGTGTTCTGCATGACAATCAGGAAAGGGAAACTGCAATAGAGCAATAATTATTGCAGTAATTAACCAGGGGGTATAACAGAGCTTCCACCCATGTCTATATCTAATTACTTTAAAAAATGCTCAGCTAAGGACAGCTGAACTGCTGCTGTTTGTGCACTGCTGCTATTTCTATATTGCACACAATTTAAGGTTCCTGCAATAATGTACTTTGCTTGTACCAGATGGACAAAAATCAACTACAGATAAATCAGTTTTGCATTCCCTGCTTCATGAATCCATTAGCATGAAAAAAATCTGTAGCTTGTTTTATACATTCTGCGTTTTAAGTTTAATAGAGCCCAGTCATTATGAAATCAATAACTAAAATATTTAAATTTTAATGAATTACTCTTTGAACTTGTATTAATTTATGACAAAATAGTAATTTATTAGCATCTCTGACTATTTTGCAGATATGTGTGAAAGGACCAAACGTTTTCAAGGGTTATCTAAAAGATGAAGAGAAGACGACTGAAGCGCTGGATGAGGAAGGCTGGCTTCACACGGGAGACATAGGGAAATGGTTACCTGTGCGTGCCGCTCGTATGATTACTTCTTATGGGACTTAATTTTTGAACTTTTGCACTGAAAAAAAAATCAGTTTACTTAAGAGAGTATTTTGCAGTTGAAAATGCCATTTGTTTTAAGAAACTATTTTATGAAATTATTTTAAGAAGTTTTTTATATCTTTTTGCTGGCCCTATTTTCCAATTGAAAGTTGTTCAGCATGTTGCTGAACAACCTGCCACTAACACTCTTCATTTCGTATTTTCAAATGCATGAAAATTTATATTCACGCTTGTTCTTGCACTGGACACTTAGCACAGGCTGGCAGAGGGCTGTGTTTTTCAACTCTATCATTATCTCTTTAATGTGAGGGAGGTGGAGGGGCAGGCTGGGCTGAGTCTCTGGGGTTAAATAACATCTCTGGGAACTCTTATTTCTTTCTCCTAACAGAATGGGACTCTTAAAATTATTGATCGGAAAAAGCATATATTTAAACTTGCTCAGGGAGAATATATTGCGCCGGAGAAGATTGAGAATATCTATATCCGCAGTGACCCCGTTGCCCAGATATATGTCCATGGAGACAGCTTGCAGGTAAAAATAAACCTCTCAAAAGCTTCAGTTCTTATTCTTTGCTTTTAAAACCATTCAGATTGTTAAGGCAAATCAAAGAACCCCAAAGGGAACATGCACGTGGCGCAGGCCACATTTTTTGCCCTGACGTCTCTTTTCTGCTCTTGAGCTGGCTGCTGGCTGTCTAGGAAGTGACTCTAAGCACCTTAAGGATATTGTGGCCAAAGAGTAAGTCTTTACATTTGTTTTGGCATCATTTTTCAGATCTCTACCACTCTCCTTGGCCATGGTCACTCTTTGGATCTCTATCACTCTCCATAGCCATGGCCACTCTTCGGGTCTCTGCTGCTGTCCTTGGCCATGGCCACTCTTTGGGTCTCTGCTGCTGTCCTTGGTCACGGTGCCTGAAGCAAACCAGGCAAAAGTGAGGCTGCCGCTGCTCGGTGCCGGCTGCTTCCCATTTTGCTCAGTCTCACCCCATTTTTTCCACAGCGCTCCCTCACGGGACTGCAGCCACATGTTGGGCCCATCCTCAGGCAGGAGGCCCTACGCTGGTGGTGTCTATGTGCTGTGCTGTGGAAAGGGGAGGTTTAGGCCCTTACTGAGACACAGACTATGAAACCATAACTTTTTAGAAGCAGAAGAGCTCCAAGAGTAAGCACTAGTAGCAGTTTGGTCCCCAGGGGTGGTTGTCCCTCCAAGCAGAGGGTGACCTGAAGCCCTTGGTTACTGGAGGCACCGGGACCACTTCCTTTGGGCAGTGCCGTGGTCTCTGAGCATGGAGAGGGCCAGCCTGGAAAGCCCAGCAAGCAGAGGTCTGCATGGGAGCAAACTCGTCAGGATTAATTAGTCACATCAGCGAATTGCCTTAGGTGTGGTGCTCAGGCTTCAGCTGAAGCTCACTTTCCTTCACCCACAGGCCTTTCTGGTGGGAATTGTAGTACCCGATTCGGAAGTTATGCCAGGCTGGGCCAAGAAGAGAGGATTTGATGGATCCTATGGAGACCTCTGCAAAAACAAGGTTTGTCCTCATATCGTCTGTGCGCACCGCAGACGGTTCCATGCATAGCCCAGCTAAAGGCAGCCTTTGTTATTAATGATCCCCCTGTCAAGGGCTATTTCTTCATGGAAAATTAACCCCAGTAGAGCAATCTCTTAAGCAGGATTAACCTGGATACGGGGACGTGTGCCGGCTGGCCCCAGCAGGTCATCGCTGCCCTAGGCCGGCTGGGAGCCGAGTTCCGTACAGGGACAGCGGGATGTGGTGAACGCTCCCCCAGGCCCTGCTTTATGATGGAGTTAGGCAACATACCCTCCTCTGCATGTTTAATTAGCAGTTAACTGTAATTACAAGAAATGACAACTATGAAACAATGGGATGCTCAGTAAAGAAGAAAAGAAAATGAGCAAGGCATGTCTAAACTCCCTAATTTGTTCCTATTTGTATAGATTCAGTAATCATTGGCCAATAAAAGGTTCATCTTTATATCTCTAGCAAATGATTGGACCTTTCCCTAGCATAAAATCCACATCTAAAAAAAATCCCATGAAAAATAACATCCTTCAGGTTTCATTGAATTCAGTTAATGATATAATAAGTATTACTATACAAATGACAAGTTACAGAGGTTAAAGCATCTTCAGCCCCATCACTGAGTGCTGATTCCATGCAATGAGCCCACCTGCATTGGTGGGAAACAATTCTGCATCTGAAAGCAGAGGGGGGACTGCAAATTTAGACATTCAGCCTTTACTTTCTCACATTGAAAATATCAGCCTTACATTTCAGAGAAAAGAGCAGCATTGCACTTATTTGAACATTTTAAAACCATTTAATTTTTATATTTAAGTTGTCAATAATGCACTTGAACTTTGCTCAGAAAACTGTTTTCTTCCTGACAACTGTTGTTTTTTTGCTATGTAAAGTTGTTTCTTGATTATTTTATGGAGAATGTGTGTGTTTTAACCCAGGAACTACGGCGAGCAATAATGGAAGATATGGTCCGGCTAGGTAAGGAGAGCGGACTTCACTCCTTTGAGCAGGTAAAATGAAACAACTAACACATTTTCTACTGTGGTCAGACACGTCCTTTGTCCATTACTTTGAGCAGGTAAAATGAAACAACTAATGTATTTTCTACTGTGGTCAGGCACGTACTTTGTCCATTTGTAGTGAATGGAGATTTGTTAGCATTTGTTATTCTCATTGTAATCACATACAATGTTTTCTAAAAGAGAGCCTTAATGCTGTCAAGTTGTAAATGTTCCTTTGAATAATATGCACTGGGATCCTGCTTCCAATTAGGCTGGAAATTCAAATTAAATTTAGTGTAAATTTTGGGTGCAGAGGTAATAACCCGCTCCAGGGACATGGGCAACCTCCCTGGTTTGATAACCAGTGGGCAAAATAAATATCTGCAGGACTCTGATTCTTCTCCTATATATTGAAAGCAAGTGACATCCCTGCCTGGGATTCTCCACTGAAACTATTTTCCCTCTTTATTTTAGGTCAAAGGCATTTACATTCACTCCGATATGTTCTCAGTGCAGAACGGTTTGTTGACGCCTACACTGAAGGCTAAGAGACCAGAGCTAAGGGTTTACTTCAAAAAGCAGATCGAAGAGCTATATTCAAGCATCTCCATCTGAAGTGGTGGGAGGACTCCTGGAAAGAGCGGGTTTTGCAGCTGCGCTAGCAAAACGCTCCAAAGTACCGAGCCGGAACGGCCCACCGCAATGGATAAGCACCTGAATCTTATCCTTGAGCCTTTCAGCGCTCCAGGATTTCACCACTAACCATAATTTCCATTTTCCTCCTCTTTATTTTTTTTCATCAGGAGTGGATACAGTCTGTTTTTATTCTATGTACACAGTAGGAGACTACTAAAAGTTACGATCAATACCTGCAAAATACACAGAAATTTCAATTCCATGACCAAGTAAATTACAGAAACTTACTAGTAACTACAAATGTTTCTGATTAAACAGAGAGAAGAATTTTGGGGATGTCTGCTGGTAGTTGACTGTATATAACTTAATAGATTAGGAACTAAAATTGCTGATAATTCAATAATGTGGTCTACCTCAAACAAGCAGTGATTCATGGAGCAAGTCTGTTTTCCCTGATCTGGAACTTTGAGATGGATTTTGGTTTATACATTAAGTTTTTATATGCTGCAGAATATAAATTATGTTTATTTGATTTAATCACTAATGAGCTAACTAACAATGGGAATAGAAACGGGAGCAGATCTCCTGGTATTTGTACTTAACAGGCCTCTTAGTATACTCTACTTAAAGGAAAAGGCCAGATTAGCATCACCGTGGAACAAAAGCGCGTTAGGAAGCTGTAGGTTACCATTCCCTCTATTTCCTTTTCATCCCAGCTCAGTTTATACGTGGCTGCTGCTTTTTCATTAGGGCTACACATGGACATCAGGACTACTCACACTGGGACTGTGGCTAAAGCATTGCTGGCTCCGCAGCAGCTTCCTCTGGGAATGCAAGAAAGCGAAGGAACTGCCCTGGAGAACTGTGTGCCCATGAGCCCGCACTCCCTGCGTGTTCCCCGTCCCCTGGCACTTCTTAATGTGCTGCTAGGCCTGGGCAGCCCTGGGAGACCCGCTCCCTTCCAGAGGCAGCCGTAAAGATAAGAAGCACAAGGTGATTTTGCATGGGACTTGGCAAAACAAGCGTGTTTTGGAGAAAGGCTCCCGCCCGCCGAAGCACAGCGTGGAGGGCAACCCTTGGGATGGACAGCGAGGGCGCTGCTCCCCAAGGCCAGGCTGGGAGCAAGGTGAAGCATCAGCCAGGCGAAAACGCGGAATTCGGAGCCAGCGAAGCCTTTGGGAAGGGGCAAGTCCCTGTGGGACGGGAGCAGACTGCGGCGCTCCGTCCTGACGCGCGGCGCGGCACCAGACTGCACGTGCCGGGCAGCTCGCGTCTCCGGGCTGCGGCTGCCGCCTTCTGCTAACCAGGGTCTGAGGGGTCTGTGTGTTTCAATAGCTGCTGTTCGTTGCACCAGTGCATACTAGCATGGAGCCCTGCCTGCTACATCTTTGCTAGGGCAGAGAAAGCACATTTACCTGCTCTCTTAGGCTGGAATCCATTGTAGACCTTTGAAGCTAAAGATTAAATTATTAATCAAAATTATCTCTTATTTTCCCTCCGAAATTCCATTGCATGCTTTTAAGGAAAAAAAAAATAAATTGATGTGTTGGTTTTACACAAAGACTGATTATTGCAGTAATTTTGGAACAAAATAATACAAAGGAAGCTTGTTAACATAATCACTCGCATAAAGGAAGTGGTGATTGATTAACGACCTATGGAAGCATCACCGTGAATCCCTTCTACGCCTGACTCTTCACTGGCTTCCTGCGGAATCATTCCCACTGCTCCAAAGCACATAAGAAACACCATGGCTGTGATCTAGTGGGATTTCATGGCTGTTTTTCACTGATGCGGAGAGCAACAGGTTCACTGGGGAAATCTGGTGTCACCTTCACAGAGGATGTGAATTGCTGCTGCCAGCTACAGAATGTGGCGCTTTAGGTCGAGCCATAAAGAATTCTCATCTTGTAGGAGTCTCATCCATCTCATTTTTGTATCAGCCAAAAGATGGTCATTACATACATCCACTTCAAAGCAATGAGGAATTAGGCTCTGTGAAATTTCTTCCCTGCTTTAATGCCACCTACTTAAAGAAAAAGTAGCTAAAGGTAACAAGTTATTTAAATCAATATAAAAAGCTATTTTCCCCTGAACACTTTCATGACTACATGAATTAAGTTTACTTTTCTCCTAAGGTGATTTTAGGTTACCTGGCTTTTCTAGATAACTCACCTCTATTTTGTATAAGGAGGGAAGATCCTAATATGAGTTAATTTATGGCCGGATTGGCGCTTTAAATATGGCTGTTTTGTTAATGAATAACTTATCTGTAGGCCTCTTGGTATTTGATGCAAAACATCAGATGTTCTAGAGCTAATGATATGAGCACCAAAAGAACAGGGAGGGAAAAGAAAAACGGATGTGACCACACTAGGATGATACCAAATTTAGAAGAAATTATTTCATACCAAATGTGTGAATGTTTCCAGTGGTTCCAGATTTGTGCGAAGCTGCATGAATAAATGAAAGCTGTCTCTGGTACTTTCTTGTGCAGTCAGATTTTCCTCTGAATATCAGTCTCTGTCTCCAGAAGCATAACAATGTTGTAAGAGAATAAAACTTGACATGAGTGTACGTGTAAGGAATTATTTAATCCAAGGATACTGTCTTGCTTTGACTTTTCCTAAACTTAGATACTTATTTGGACCATCACAGAAAATCCCCAGGGTTGTCTAATAAGTTTATTTTTTCTCAAGCTAACCAGTTAACAAGATCTTTTTCTTTATAAGTATGTATACATATACATACATACATATATATATGTATATATGCTTTTCTGATAGGTTTGTGACTAAAGTGCCATTGAATTAATGGCAATTACCCCTCTCTGTAGACAGACCAATTCTTGATGGCTTAAAAATGACTGTTTCTAACTAATTGCTACCTGTGAGGGGCTCATTCTACTATCAAGAAAATGAGAACCCCAAACCCCCAGAAATGGGAACTCTCAGCCCTGCCGCGGGTGGACTCTGCCAATGGTCAGAGTCTGGAGCAATCCGATACCCGCTGCCCCAGGCAGCTTCGTGTTAAGAACGCTGTGGTTAGCGATTTATTGTGTTCTCTTATCTATCCAAAACTGGAGATGCTTTCTGGGCCTGGTGCTATGCCTTTGAAACCCCTGGAAGATTGTCTGCAGGGCTCATATATGGGAAAAAAATAAAATAAAACACATCTTCCAGGAAAGGACGATTGCCTAATTATCTACTTTTTAAGTTCACCACTTGATATTTGTTGCACAGAAAAAACACCACTCTGCCACAGAAATACTCAGACACACAAAAAGGTGAACAGAAATCATGCACAAATTGGTGTTGGGTTTTAACCCCCTGTTGGCAGGAAATATATGGAATATTTCTGTCTCGAAAATGACATATGCAGGTTAAAATAGTTGATATATATCAGATGAAAGCGAGATGGTGAGTTCCTTATTAACAAGGTACTGTTTTGCAATCTATCATCACTGTTAATAAGCATATATCAGCATAAGTAATGTCTAGTATCATTTTTAACATGGATATAATTTTGCTGGATAGGAAGAAATAATTTGACTTAAACTGGAATGAAGCAAGTTAACTATACAATTTTTATTTTCCATGTGTTAAAAGCACAAACCAGAGATCCGTATGTAAATAAACTGCTACAAGATGAATGTAAATTGGGAAAGAATATACTATTTTTGCATGGTAAAAGATTACTTAAAGACCTCTTGATGCCTTACAGGAGATTTGGAGGAGCATTTTATTTAAAGGCAATTCTCTGTGGATCTTTTGTTTCTCTAGCTCACCTTGGTTTTGTCTATGAAAAACAAAGACATCAGAATCAGATCCTTGTCCTCCTTGGAGTTCCCTTATTCCTCAGTACTTTTCACATTTATAGGTTTCTGTGATATATTTATTCTATTTAAAATGATGAAGCTGAGGCTATTAAATTTGGATGAAAAATCTGGAAATTTGCAGTGATTGGGAGGGAAACAATTTTAGCTCCCTGGAATTGTTAAAGATAACTTGTTTTGAGGCATCCAGAGTCCCTTTAAGGCCTTCTCTTTATTACAGCTTTTTATTAAGTAATTTAGCAAGTATATACAGCAAACAAATGAGGCATTTTCCTATGTGTTGCCTATTCTATTTTCAGCAGAAGGTGAAGGGGTTAAATATAATTGTAATTAAAGTGTTTTTTTTCAGTTTCAGAATATTAGCATGTGTATCAAAAAGTCATCTATGGAGACTTTTGTAAAGAATTAAACTGTCACATTTCTCAAAGCTGCTCATAAAGACTATTGTTGTCAACTGACATACAATAAAATCTCTTTTATAAAAATCCATGGTTACTCCAGCACTCTGTCTGCCCCGTTGGGGTGAAGCCACCCAGAAAAGCATTCAAATGCAAACAAACAAACAGAAAATAATTTAAGAAGGAAAAAAGAACCAATGTAATAATGGCCAGAAGAATATCAGACCCCGAGACCAATTTTAGCAATCTTTGGCAAATAAATTGCTTCCAGGTTCACCAAAGATCAACATGTCAGTCTTTCTGAAACAGGCTCAGTTCTTATTTTAAAACAGTAATAATATAACCCTAAGGTAATATGCTTATTACATATGATTCAACAATGGGAAATGCATACTTTTTTTTTTCAGAGTATGTATCTAAAACAATAAAGTCTAAAAGTATCCAGTCTCTGCTCCAGTTTTGGCATGCACGTTTATTTCTCCTTTCATCCAGAACACCCAAGGAAATAGCCACATTTTTCATGCTGAGGAAGTGATGAGCTTCATCTCCATGAAGCACCTAATAAGGTTCATATACGGCATTTGGCAGGCTCTGTTTGGATGGCAGGAATTTGTATTATAGACCCAAATCCCTGTGCATATTTATTAGTCCAAGAGCAAAGGGGCAGCGATGCCCAGGCCCTGCACAGGCTCCAGGGAGGTGACTGTGCCAAGGCAGGATTAGTCAGGGCTGACTTGTTTTTCCTCAGAAACCTCTGTTTGGGGGTCGTCTCTTGTTTTTAAGGAAAATGGGCCTTACTTTAGTGGCCCGCTGTCATTTTTGATTTTTTCTGGGACTTTCCATGAGCTGCTAGGGCCGATGGCAGCCAGCACCGTGTGGAAAACGACCATTTTCCAGCACGCGCCTCTTTGGAACCAGACGAGTTCATTAACGCAGCGGTTCCAGGGAGGAGGCGCGTGGGATCCCAAGGCGGCCGCGCCGCTTCCCTG